GGGGCAGGCATGGAGGTGGAGGACTCAGGGATGATGGAAGCAGGGGGTCCGGGCGTGGGGGTGGAGGACTCAGGGATGATAAAAGCGGGGGAAGGACGGGCATGGGGGTGGAGGACTCAGGGATGGGGGCGGGAGGGGGTCCGGGCATGGGGGTGGAGGACTCAGGGATGATGGAGGCAGGGGGGCGGGCATAGGGGGTGGAGGACTCAGGGATGATGGAGGCGGGGAGGCGGGCATAGGGGGTGGAGGACTCAGGGATGATGAAAGCGGGGGAAGGACGGGCATGGGGGTGGAGGACTCAGGGATGACAGAGGCAGGGGGAGGATGGGCATGGGGGTGGAGGACTCAGGGATGGGGGCGGGGGGGTGCTGGGGGCATGGGGGTGGAGGACTCAGGGATGACGAAGGCGAAGGGGGGCTGGGCATGGGGGTGGAGGACTCGGATGATGAAGGCGGGGGGGGGGGGCAAGCCTTGGGGGTGGAGGACTCAGGGATGATGAAGGCACAGTGTGGTGTTACTGGGCATGGGGGTGGAGAACTCAGGGATAACAGAGGTGGGGGGGGTGGGCCAGCCCCAGCTCACCTTAGGCCGTCCCTGGGCATCCACGTGGCTGCCTGTTATCTGCCACGGCAGGTTCTCAGTCAACAAGCGCATCTTCGTGGTGGGATTTGGGCTGTACGGATCCATCCACGGGCCCACCGACTACCAAGTGAACATCCAGGTACCTGTCCCAAGCTGCCTCCCCAGGCTGCACTCCGGCCCGCGTCCTGTCCCCACCTCCGTGGAACCCTGGCCGAACCCCCGGCCCTGGTCCCTGCACTACCCACCCTGGGCAGGTGGGCTGGGCCTCGAGGGGTCCCTGTCAGCCCTCCCCAGGCCTGAGCCTCCCACCTCCCTGCAGATTATTCACACCGACAGCAACACCGTCCTGGGCCAGAACGACACGGGATTCAGCTGCGACGGCTCTGCCAGCACCTTCCGTGTCATGTTCAAGGAGCCGGTGGAGGTGCTGCCCAACGTCAACTACACAGCCTGCGCCACGCTCAAGGTGCACCGCTGGGGAGTGGGGTCCCTCCGTGGGAGTCTCTGGCCCATCCTGAGACCCCCAGGACACAGCCGACACTCTCCAGACGTGGCCACCCTGGCCCAGTTGGGGCCTCGCCCTGTCCACACCTGGGTCATCCCGGCCTGGTGGTCCTTGACCTCACTGTACCCCATCTCCCACAGGGCCCAGACTCCCACTACGGCACCAAAGGCCTGCGCAAGGTGACACACGAGTCGCCCACCACGGGTGCCAAGACCTGCTTCACCTTTTGCTACGCAGCCGGGAACAACAATGGCACATCCGTGGAGGATGGCCAGATCCCCGAGGTCATCTTCTACACCTAGGCTGCCCGACACCGACACCGCCCTCCCTGTGCGGGGAAGGCTGGGGCCCCAAGGTCATCTTCTACACCTGGGCCACCCGACACCACCCTCCCTCTGTGGGGACCACTGGGGCCCCGAGGTCATCTACACCTGGGCTGCCCTGCCGTCGCCCTCCCTCCATGGGGACAGCCGCAGCCCCAGGCCATCATCCGCTGCTGGGGCCCCCCACGTGGCGCCAGGCCCAGTGTTCCCCCGGGCCATCTGTCCAGTCCACGCCACCTTTCTCAGCATCAGGAAGGGGTTGCCCTGTGTTCACCACCACGAGTGCGGCTGCTGGATCAGGGCAGCCAGGGAGGTGGCCAGGTCAGTGGCCAGGCCTTGTGGAGACAATCCCTCAGGACTGGGGCCAGGGCCCACGGGCCCACTGCTCAGGGCGCCTGCCCACGTCGTCTGACGGCGGTACGCGGCGTCCCCACGTTTCTTCACTGCACACTGCAATGCATTTGCGATTCCCATTTCTCTGCTAGGAGCCAGCCTGGTGGCACCGCTCCCAGAGCCATGGGTTCCAGACCTTGCATTCCTTTTGTTCCTGTCCGTTTATTGGGACTGAGGCCCCACCTGTCACATGCCCGAGGCCACCCAACCCCAGCCTGCAGGGTGTTCCCACTGCCTGGATGCTGGCCTGAGTTCCGCGAGGGACTCAGTGTGGTGATGGCCCCCGCTGGATAGGCCTAGCCCTGGCCCAGGTGGTGAGCGGTTTGCAGTGTCCGTTCTCATCCACCTGATGGGCCCAGCCAAGGGCCCCCGCTGTCCAGCCTCCCTGGACGGCCCTCGTGGCTGCTGCAGCCCAGCGTGGGACTCAGACCCTGTGCCCCAGAGCTCCCCTGCCGCAGGATGGGGCTCCAGCTGGCCCCGACCGGGTCCAGGGGCACTGCTTGCCTGTACATATCGTTGCCCTAGCCTGCCTGGTGCCGCGGGAGCCACCCCCAGGTGCTGGGGGGCACAGCCCCTCCCCACCCCAGGCCACGCCCCCACCCACCCTGCGTGTTTCTGCCCTGTGACTCCTGGAACCTGCGTCCTCCCCAAAGCCATGGGAGGGGTGTCCTCCTCCGACCACCCCCAGATGATTTTTTTAAATAAAGAAACAAACACACCTGCCCTGAGCGCATGCTGCTTCTCTCCCCTTCACTCCCCTTCACTCTCCGCCCCGCTGTCCAGGCTACAGTGGGTGAGGGATGTTGTGTGCTCTGGAGAGAGGCCCTGAACCCTGGGTCTGGTTCGCCAGCACCGCGAGACCCTCCTCGAGTACCACAGCCCACGCTTAAGCCCGGGAGGTCGGGACTGCAGTGAGCAGTGATTGCACCACTGCCCTCCCACCTGGGCAAGAGCAAGACCCTGACCCAACACCTCCCCCCAACCCAAATGCAATGGAAGTGTGCGCCGATTTTCACGTGGGGAGGTCCTGCTAGCTGCTGGGGGACCGTGGATGTGAGGGACAGAGAGAAAGCAGGAAGTGCTCAGTTCTGGCCTCGATGGCCAGAGGAGTCAAGCTGTTGGCTGCTGCCTCAGGAGCACACATGCAGGGCAAGATAACAAGAAACCCGGCAGCAAGGCCGGGCCCGGTGGCTCACACCTGTAATCCCCGCACTTTGGGAGGCCAATGCAGGTGAATCACCTGAGGTCAGGAGTTCAAGACCAACCTGACCGACATGGTGAAATCCCGTCTCCACTAAAAACACAAGAATTAGCCAGGCGTGGTGGCGGGCACCTGTAATCCCAGCTACTTGGGAGGCTGAGGCAGGAGAATCGCTTTAACCTGGCAGGTGGAGGTTGCAGTGAGCCGAGATGGTGCCACTGCACTCCAGCCTCGGTGAGAAAGCAAGACTCCGTCTAAAAAAAAAACCCAGCAGCAAACAGTTGCCAGGAGGCTGAAGGCTGAGCAGATTTGCAGTGTGTGCTGCTGGGAAGAGGCAATGGAGATGGAGCCTGGCGGGGTAGGGGGCCTTGCTGAACACCCTGAGGGCCAAGCGTGGTAGCTCACACCTGCAAGCCCAGCACTTTGGGAGGCTGAGGCAGGACTGCTTGGAACCAGGAGTTCGAGCCTGGGCAACACAGCAAGACCCCATCTCTACAAAAATACATATTAGAAGGACCTTGGGCTTCTAATGAAGACATCAGAAGGGCCACACACCAGGAGCTAGGGCAACACCCCTGGGGGAGGACAGAACTGAAGCAAGCCCTCATCACTCCAAAACAAAACCCTGGTGGGGTCTCAGTGAGCTGCTGTTACACTGGCCCCTGCCAAAAGGAAACACAGCCCTGTGAAGACACATCAGCACCAGCTTCCACCATCTGTCATTTATAATGTCCAGCATCCATTCAAAAATGACAGGCTGGGCATGGTGGCTCACGCCTGCAATCCCAGCACTTTGGGAGGCCGAGGCAGGTGATCACCTGAGGTCACGAGTTCGAGACCAGCCTGGCCATCATGGTTAAACCCCCGTCTCTATAAAAATATAAAAATTAGCCGGGCATGGTGGCCGGTGCCTGTAATCCCAGCTACTTGGGAGGCTGAGCCAGGAGAATCACTTTAACCTGGGAGGCGGACATTGCAGTGAGCCGAGATTGTGACACTGCACTCCAGCCTGGGAGACAGAGAGAGACTCTTGTCTCAAAAAAAAGAA